AACCCTTGTATATACAAAGCTAAGACGTGGTTATTCATTGTCACAGGCCCAAGCAAAACAACTCAAATGTTACATCTTACTGAATATGGGCATATCAGTGATTAAAATGAAGCTATCTGGCCATAAACTCAAAAAGTCATAAACTCAACACCATCATCTCTTCCTTGCCTGGTCCTATTAGGCATTCATCCCATCAGCTGGTAGTGTCTGCCCGTTCAAAATGTCCTTCCGTTTCTTTATTGAATAGAGTGGGCTCTACACCAAATATATCTGCAACAATAATCCTGTGTTATTTGTGGAAATGACACAAACCAACCTCTCTCGACGATATGCTTCTTTATAGAGCACAGATTAATATTAGTTCTCTTATAAGGTGTCTGGATTTATTTCTATTATCTAGATGGCTGCAAAGCTTAGGTTCTTTTTCTAACTTTCATCATCTTTTTCTCTATATCACTCCACCGATCTAAAGCTTAGTGCCATTGCAGACGTGCCATTTTCACACAGTTCTTCAGGAATTTAAGATATACCAAAGTTCGGAGGGAAAGGTCATAGTTACCTCTAGGTTTCAAGCAATCTAAAGATTCCTGATAAGTCTGCATCCTTTCTCTGTAGGTACTTGCTCCCTATCCTGCCTTGCCACAAAGAATCAAATAACACTGAAGTGAAAGAACAACCACAGTCCGACTGGGTGAGGGAGGGGCAAAGAAAATGGAGAGGCTTTGTGGGAACAAGAATATCCTGTTCATCCACTGGTGAAGAATCAAGGTAGACAGGGAGACACCAGGGCCATACCTGTGCTATTCATTCTTGAGTCAGTGCCAACATTGTAGAGGTAGTACCTGGTTTTCAAATGACTGAATTATTTAACAACTGATGGTCACTCTAGCAAAGTTGCCAAAGTTGGGTGTGTCCATGAGCTCACTCCCCCCACCATTGTCTTATTTGACATTCATCTACCCTGTGACTGGGGCAACTGCTCCCTAGGATAGAACCTCCTCTCCACCCAATCCCTATTTTGCATCTCATACCAGAATCCATTTAGGACAAAGTAGGGAAGGGATGTATAAACTTATGGGAGTTGATCACTCTCCCCTCACTTCCTTAGGACCATAAGTGTCCCTAGCCCACATTCTGTCTCCTCACCAGTCCCCCCAGGTCATGGTTCATCCTGGCCCCCAATCTGAAATAGGATGTCTGGGGTCACCAGGTCTGGATTTTGGAGGGACCCTGCTCTAATTGTAGCAGAGGACTTGTTCCTGACATGAAGAAATTAGAACCATTGATTGTAATATTGTGCTCTGGGTACACATAGTTTTATGTCACAGGCTACTAATTACTCATCATGGATAATACATTGTTTCTACACAAGGCTAAATGATTTCTAAGTTCCAATAGATTTGAGTGAATATAGTGGATACTTCTCTCACTTAACCTTAAATTCTGACATTTAAACACATTTAGACATAGTCCAGGAATTTAATTCTCCAAACACAAGAACACCTTGGTCACAATGGAAAGATTCACAATACTGAAGTTAACACCTTTATTTTCTTACCCTACGAAGACTTAGACGTGGTCATGACCACATAGATGTACTCTGTGCATGATCCTGTATCATGTCTGTTTTCATGGTCTTTATCAAAAAGCTTTGGGGAAAAAAACAAAACAAAACAGTGCAGTACCTAACCTCTAACCCACTATTACTCACTGCACCAGAAATATAATTCATTCTAGGGACACCTGGGTGACTCAGTCAGTTTAAACATCTGCCTTCGACTCTGGTCACGATCTCTGGGTCCTGGGACCGAGCCCTGCATCAGGCTCCCTGCTCCGCGGGGGTTCTGCTTCTCCTTCTCCCTCTCCCCCTCTCCCTGCTCCTTCTCACTTTTGCTCACTCTCTCTTAAAGAAATAAATAAAATCTTAAAAAAAAACAAAAAACTTCCACTGAGTTATTTTGGTTATTGGATTTTTTAAAATTCTAGAATTGGTATTTTTTTCACATGTCCAGGTATCTGTTCAAATTCCCAGAACTCGTTTATCTCCTTGAATAGAGTAAGGTTATTTTATCGTCTGTGTTTGATAGCTCCACTATCTGCGGCTCTTGTTTCACTGGTTTTCTTTACATCTTGCCTCAGATGCTTGGCTCCATTTTATTGTATTCACGATATTGTATTAGCAAAGTTACTGTAGAAACAAATCAAAGGGGGCGCCTGGGTGGCTCAATCGTCAAGCGTCTGCCTTCGGCTCAGGTCATGGTCCCAGGGTCCTGGGATCGAGGCTCCCTGCTCCGCGGGAAGCCTGCTTCTCCCTCTCCCACTCCCCCTGCTTGTGTTCTCTCTCTCTCGCTGTGTCTCTCTCTGTCAAATAAAGAAATAAAATCTTAAAAAAAAAAACAAACAACCAAGTCAAAGTGTAGGATGATGACATTTTTCTCCAGAGTGCGTTTTTGTTTGCTTATGCCAAGGGTTTGGGGAAAGTACCCCTTGGGATCAACTTAATCTAATTTCACGGACTGGTATCATTGGAAGCCAAGCTGCAATCCCCTAAGAGAGCCTTTCTATTATTTCCTACTTCTGGCTCACCCCTCTTCTTGGGGTGCAAAAGACTGAGCGCCTCAACCCAATGTGACAAACATTTACCAGGTCTACCACTGCCAGGCCCAAACCCCTACTTCTGGAAGTCTGTCACAGTTGCCCACCAGCCTCCGGCCTGCCCCCCTCCACATTGCAAATGCCCCCAACAGAAGAGTGGCCTGTAATACTGAGCCCACTTCTCAGGGCCTCAATCTTCTCAGTGGTCCTGGTCCGGTAATTCTTCAAACACGTTAGCTCTCTGATGCCTTTGGAATTTGAAAATATTTTGTCCAGCCTTTCTAGTTGCCCTCAGTGGGATGGTCATCCAAAATTACCTATCCACCATTATCAGGAACAGAAGTTCTCATTAGTTACACATTGGAGTTATTTGAATAGGTTCACACACGGCATGGTAACAATATGTAAAATGTCAGTACACCGCTCTCCACCTCTGATTCTGTGTTAAAAAGAATTTTGTAGAAACAGTGAGGCCTTGGAAAAATCAATTGCTCTCCCTAACAGCAACTGCAGGTTTCTGTACTCATAGCAGCAGGTTTCTATACTCATGGGCTACTTCTTTCTACCTATGACAAAGCAGTTAATGATTTCACAAGTCTTTATTGAGAGCCTATGAGAGCCTATTATGCGTAAGGGGAACAAAGAGGTGACATCCTCATTTTATAGCAGACACTAAATGATTAATTCGTTGAAAGACCTCAAGAGAAACCCTAAGGTTCAGGTTTCTGCTCTCCTCTGCTTTTTCAAATTGCATATTCTTCCCAAGGACATACAGGAATCTAACTTCTACTGTTTAAATGCCTTTATTTCAAATTAAACTGCAAAGGCAGAATAACAACTTGATAATTTTTGGCTATTGGGGCAACAATGTTTGGCAATTCTTTAAAAAAGATTACAAATGACCAATAAGTATATAAAAATTTCATTAAACAAAATAAATGCAAATTAAAACAATGAGATACTTTTTCTATTAAAGTGGCAAAATACTCTTTTAATGATAATAAATACCCAGTGTTAGGAAGGTTTCAGAGAGATGAGTGCTCTTCTACACTGCTGGAGGAGGGTGAAATTAGCACAGCTGTTTTTGAAGAATATGTGTCAATGGAGCAAATCCATGAAAACATGCATACCCTGCAATTCTACTTCTAATAACGTAGGAAATAATTAAGAACGTGTATACAGATTTAACTATAAAGTTGCACGTTACATCACATTGTTTATAAGAAACTGGAGACAATCTAATAGTAGATTGTTTAAATAAATTATAATACAGAAATACAATGGAATACTAAAAACAAGGGTGTCCATAGATGGTTATCTGTTAACATGGGAAGTCAGTATTTTGTCAAATGGAAAAATCAAGTTATAAAAGAGCACAGTATGATATAGTATTTCTTTTTAAAAACCGTATATGTTTATATATACATATAGAAAAACACTGAGAACCGGAGTTTCACCACATTACCAGAGGCAATCTCTGGATGGTGGAAACGAATGATTAAAAAAATGTTTATACCCATTTTTGTATTTATCTGCAATGAATGTGTACTATTCTGTGATTAAAAAAGGAAAAAAAAGTCAAAGTCTAATTTAAAAAAAAATGCTTTGTGTATGTTTTGGCTTGTGATAGGAGGGGCCACATGCCCCTAGAGGCATCTACTTGGTTTTGTTCCTTCTGACCTGAGTGGATGATTCTCACAGTTGTTTTTCTGCAAATGCCATAACCATGGACATCTGACTGTCTAGAGAACAGTTCTCTAGTTTTCAGCTAGAGCTCACCGAGGCCATGACTGGAGAAGGAAGCCACCTTTCTAGAGTAGGTTGGTTGCAAAACCATGTCCAAGGCCTACATTTTAGTTGGGGAGCCCTTAGAAAAGTTCTGGGGAGAAAGAAGGCAGAAGCAAGCAGAAAACAGATACAGAAGGATGGGCTGTAGATTGTAGGGTTTCTCTTTAGTCCTTATTTCAATTTTAGGGTCTCCTCAATCTTAGAGGTAGGGCCTATGGGAGGACACCTGAGACCTGGTCATAGAGATTCCTAAGATGTTGCGTCACTTCAGAAGAGAAATGAGAGAACAAGTGACAATCATATTGAAGGGTGAATAAGTCTGCAAACATCGAACTGTGAGAACGGCCCCACAGCCATAGTGACAGTGGCATTTGGACAGGAAGTCTGCGCGCTCAGTTGGTATGGGGATTCCAACTGAACCACAACTCTGAGGGCCATGCTTAGGAGGTTCGGCAAATGATGACACTATCCATTGGAGAAGTCTTTCCTAAGAACAAAGGAAGAGCCACTCGCGCAGATAAGACGCACCTGTAAAGTCATGTATAACGTGGCAAAGGTCTGCCCCTCCTGTTGCCCATATCCTCCACTCTGCATCGAAACCAGCGCTGAGTTTTCCTGGGGTGGCTGCCAGATAGGGCTGAAAATCTGAATTTCAACTTACTTCTAATGTAAAGAGAAACCACAGCAAGATTTGAAGGGAAAAGGGGATATATTCATCTTCACAATAAAAAGTCACTATAAACCTAGAGGCTCGGCTCTCAAACCTGGTATTACAGGTGTGTCCGAAGTAACGTGTTTCTTATTAGTAGTTTAAATACCGAAGTCTGTAAATGCTATACTTTTAAAAAGAATAGATGACTGTAGATAAAGTTAGTCATACAACAAAGTCACTCTCAGACACTTGTATGCTTTCTTGAATGAGACAAAAAGGTGGAGTTTGCACTATTAGCACGAGCGTCAGCTGTCATGCGTCATCTTGGCTGAAAGGCTGAATGCTGCTCCTACAGAGCAAGAAACAAGGGAGCCCAGGGCCAGAGAGCCCAGGCAGGGTGCCAGGGATGAGAGCAGATTTGTAGACTTGTTCCAGTGTCCTGCAACTGGGGGAAAAGGGAGATTAGGAGATGTGGCGACGCAAAGTGAGCTACGTTAAGAGGCATGCACTCGAGGCTTTAAGAAAACGGGATTAGCCCTATGCATGTTCAACCGGACATGTCGATACTCATCATTTACATTAGTACAGAGAAGGTGGCCGCAGAGCGGTTACACCAGGTTAAAGGCCAGTTCTTGAGGGGAGTAGCTTTTATAGTTGGGGGTGGAGCTGCGTCCCCCTCCCCTCAGTTACTCATGGGAAACCCGTTCCAAGGCCACATAGAAACTGTTCTTGTCATCTAGGCAATGCCAGCCAATTGGTCCGATTTCACAGTCGGCGCACACCAGAAACTTGATGTTGCCCACGTCCTTGGTGAAGCCCACGTTCTCAAAGATGAACATGTCATCAACCAGCCAGTGCTCCTGGAGGAGATCGCCATCAGGATTGCTGCCATCAGCCAGAGCTGGCTTCTTTCTCATGGAGGGAAGGAAAAGCTGCAGTGGGAGAGAACACAAAGAACACGCAGGCTGACTGGCCCAGTCACATCATCACCCCCATTCTGCTTATACTTTACATTGCTCCCTGGCAGTTTCTTGGAATGCACATGAGATGAGCAGCCCTAACACTAAGTTATGGACCAGAATGCTGGGTGGCTTCTCTGTTGCCTCTAGCCCATGCCCGGATTCTTAAGACACACGAAAGAGGTACCGCGCTGTTGTCGTGTGGCTTCGCTGCTGTCCTTATCGTGGTCTGCAAGGCCCTGCCTGCTCCTCACCTCCGTGCAAGTCATTCCGCTGCAGCCACACTGGCCTTCTTGCCTCCTTCCGACAGGGTGAGTGTACTCTGCCCTCAGATTTTGGCAAAGCTGGCTGCTTCATGTATTCAGCTCAAATGCAACCTCTTCAGGAGGCCTTCTCTGACCAAACAATCTGAGTAAGATTCCCATACTGCCCATTGTATTTTGTTTTTTAAAATGCCTTTCCTGAGGTGTAATCGACACATACACTGCATATATTTAAAGTGTACAATTTGATACATTTTGGCCCATGCAAATACCGATAAACCATTCCCAGCAAGATGACAAGCGTATTCGTCACCCCCGAAAGTTTCCTTATGCCACTACCTCTTTCTTAGCAGTCTCTGAAATTAGTAATTTATTGGCTTAGTTATTTACCATGGGTCTCCCTCCACTAGAATATAAGCCCCAAGAAAGCAAGGAGCTTACCTTTCCTGTTCACTACTATAACCCCAGCGCCAAGAATAATAACGGATATAGAGCAGGAACTCAAATATTTATCAAAAGAATAAATACAGGATATCTGGCTTTGCTCTAGTCTATCAGTGTTACGTATATGCTGGATTTATCTTACAAAAAGAGCATTAAGAAGGAAAATCTAGTTCTAGAATTTGGAATATCACCCCGAGGATCCTTGTACCCCCTAATCAACATGCCTTCCCAATCAGTAGGACAAAGCCTCACACACATACACACCCTTAATTTCTTCCCTATGGTTAGTTTACGCACCTTTAGCTGCCCCAGCGTACTCGAAGATACGATGTCAGCAAAGCTTGTTACCCCTCTGCCCCTCATCGTTATTGCTGCTGCCAGTACACTTATTTTCCACCCCAGGGTACACTTCCACTGTGTCCCCAAACTCTAATAAAATAGGATGGCCTCAATGTGCTAGTCTGACATTAGCAAGCAGAATAAAAGCAAAGACCTTTTTTTTTTAAATGAAAAAGAAAAACAAACAAAAACTGGACTGACATCAGTCCAAAAGAGGCAAATGCTTTGGTAGGGATGAGCAAGCCTCTTCCTGAACTCGACGATTAGAGAATCACAAAGCTGCTAGTATGTATTAAATACCCTGGAGTTTGCACTTCTGAACTCTGGGCCAGATTCTGGCCAGTGGCTGTCCCTAATAGGGAGGAGAGAGCACTGATCCAGAACATTCTACTCCCCATCTTCCCAGCACTTGGCTTAGTAAAACAGGTATCTGTGCACTACCCTATGTGGTGTCACCTGAGACATCATCTGAGGACATCACAAAATAGGACAGTCCCTCCTTCTGTTATATTGTCATTCCAGTCACCCTTTTCACCTCATCTAATGTTTAAATGAATCCCCATTGCTTTGTTTTACCCTAAGTGAAAATGGGAACAGGCAGAAGCAAAGAGGAATCAAAATTCAGGGACCAGGAAACCTGGATTCCAAACCTAGCCGTATCTCTCTGTGGATTTCCTACAAGTATTTCTGGCCTACAGTGTAGGTGTGAAATCATCTTAACTAAACATAAGGCAAGTGAAACTTTAAGGGAGAAAAATCAAAGACTTTTTAAACATTAGCCTTTAAAAAGTGTCTAAGAAAGGAGCATCAGCTTCCCTCCCACTGTTTTGTTTGTTTTGTTTTTATAATGCAAAACACCACCTCTGCAGTCTCTTTTTTGAGTAGTGATTTAAGGGAAATACTATTAACCATTCATTCGAGGGGTCAGACTGGATACTGTTCCCTCTTTCTCAACATTCCCATTTTTATTTAAATCCTGTAAGTCAGATCCACAAGGCTAGACATATATATGTACATTGTACGTGTATCTGTATGGCTCTCAACCCATTCTCTGTAGTGCCCAGGGCTATTGCAGGGTCAAGTTTTGGGATCTAACATTTGGAATACAATTAGGCTTTCTAGATAAATAATGGGGTGGAAATCAAGAAATTACTATCTAATTTGAGGCTGCTAACTTAGCTGGTTGGGGGCCAAAGTTGCCAGTTACATCCCTGACCAGGTGGGTTAACTGCTCACGACCCCAACCAGTACCCTAATCCTGGACCATCTCCTCAGAGAGATGGAGAATACCCCCAACTCAGTGAGATTGTCAGTGGAACTCCTTTTCCTTTTTCAAGAACTGCTAACAGGGGCACCTGGATGGCTCAGTTGGTTAAGCGTCTGCCTTTCGCTCACGTCATGATCTTGGGGTTCTGGGATAGAGCCCACATCAGGTTCCCTGCCGAGTGGAGAGTCTGCTTGTCCCTCTCCCTGCTCGTGTGCTCTCTCTCACAAATAAAATCTTTTTTTTTTTTTTTAAGATTTTATTTATTTGACAGAGAGACAGCGAGAGAGGGAACACAAGCAGGGGGAGTGGGGAGAGAGAAGCAGGCTTTCCGCTGAGCAGGGAGCCTGATGTGGGGCTCAATCCCAGGACCCTGGGACCATGACCTGAGCCGAAGGCAGACTCTTAACAACTGAGGCACTCAGGCGCCCCACTAATAAAATCTTTTTTTAAGAAAAGATTATTTATTTGTCAGAGAGAGAGAGAGAGAGAGCACAAGCAGGGGGAGCAGCAGGCAGAGGGAGAAGCAGGCTCCCCGCTGAGCAAGGAGCCCAATGTGGGACTAGATCCCAGGACACTGGGATCATGACGTGAGCCGAAGGCAGAGCTTAACTGAGCCACGCAGGCATCTCTTAAATAAAATCTTTGGGGAAGAAAAACAAAAACTGTCAACCACCCTTTTAAAAATATTTTCTTTCTCTTTCTAAAAACCCATTCTCATGGTAGAAAACTTGGCAAGCATGCTACAATATAGATGAAAATAAAAGCTGTTACAATATAGAGCAAACTTGTGGTAACTTTTTTGAAATTTTCTCCTTTCTGTGAGTATTTGTGATGGTTTTAAAATGTGCACAAATTCTTTGACAATCCTTCCACTAGGAGGTGGAGTCCATGCCTCTCTCCCTGAGCCTGGACAGGCCCCTGTGCTAGCCCCTGATGATTCAAGTGCGGTGGAGGTGACAGGTTAGGTTAGAAAAGCCCAGGCCACTTTTGCCGGTTTCTGTGGGACCACTTGCTCCAGGAGCCTTCAGCTTCTATGTAAGAATTGCGGCTCCTGAGGCCACCAGGTGGAGATGCCCCCGGAGCCTGTCCCGGTGCTCAGGTGTTTTGAGTCTTCCCTGTCCACAGGCAGACACATGAGGGAGAGAGCGTTTCAGATAACCCTTCTGCCTGCACACGAAAGACCCCAAATGAGAACTGTCTAGGTAGGCCCAGTCAACTCCCCAGATTGTGAGCAAAATAAATGTTAATGTTTTAAGTCACCATTTCTTGGGTGCTCTTGTTACACAGCAATAGAGAACTAGAATATTGCCTAACATAGTTGAAATGCATGTTCCATTCTAATTCCTAATTTTTTGTGATCAACTATATATACATACCATAAAACTTACCATTTTTAAAAAAGACTGTATTTATTTGAGAGAGAGAGAGAGTGTGTGTGTGAGCAGGGGAAGAGGCAGAGGGAGAGGTAGAGAGAGAATCCTCAAGCAGGCTCCCCGCCGAGTGTGGAGGCTGATGTTGGTGGTGGGGGGCGGGTAGCAATCCCAGGACCCGGAGATCACAACCTGAGCCAAAATCAAGACTCAGATGCTCAACCGACTGACCCACCCAGGCTCCACTAAAACTTACCATTTAAGTCATTTTTAAGTGTGTGGTTTAGTGGGGCATTAAATAAATATATGTATGTTGTGATGCAACCATCACCACCATCACCACCATCCATCTCTAGAATTTTTTCATCTTCCCAAACTTGGTACCCATTAAACACTAACTCCCCATTTTCCAGTCCCTTGCAACCACCACTGTGCTTTCTTTCTCTATGAATTTGACTACACTTGGTACCTCATATGAGTGGAATCATACAGTATTTGTCTTTTTGTGACTAGCTTATTTCACTTAGCATAATGTCCTGATTTTTAAAATGTTTAATCAGGAGCGCCTGGGTGGCTCAGTCGTTGAGCGTCTGCCTTCAGCTCAGGTCATGATCCCAGGGTCCTGGGATCAAGCCCTGCATCGGGTTCCCTGCTCCGCGGGGAGCCTGCTTCTCCCTCTCCCACTCCCCCTGCTCGTGTTCCCTCTCTCACTGTGTCTCTGCCAAATACATAAATAAAATCTTTAAAAATAAATAAATAAAATGTTTCATCAGTTTTAAAGTTTTTTTAAAGATTTTATTTATTTGACAGAGAGAGATACACAGCGAGAGAGGGAACACAGCAGGGGGAGAGGGAGAAGCAGGCTTCCCGCAGAGCGGGGAGCCCGATGTAGGGCTCGATCCCAGGACCCTGGGATCATGACCTGAGCCGAAGGCAGACGCTTAATGACTGAGCCACCCAGGAGCCCCAGTTTTAAAGTTTTATTGAGGTAACTGAAGGTTCACATGTAGTGAAGAAATAATACAACTAATATGCTAATTAATTCTATATTAAGAAACAATACAGAAATTCCATGTACCCTGTGTTTGGTAATAGAGTTTTCCCCGATGGTAATATTTTGCAAAACCAGAGTATAATATCACAAACAGGACATCAACACTGATACACTCCATTGATTTTATTCAGATTTCCCTGGTTTACTTGGACACATTTCTGTGTGTAATGTGTGTGTATACAGTTCTGTCAATTTCACCCCCGAGTAAGTTCATGTATCCGCCACCACAGTCAAGACACTGAACAGTTCCACCACCAGGAGGATCCCTCACATCACTTTTATAACCACACTTACCAAAGCCCCCAGCCCCCAGTTCCTAACCCCGGCAATCACTCAACTGCTCTCCATTTCTAAAACTCAAAAATGGCACAGAAATGGAATCAGACAGTATGTAATATTTGGGGACTGGCTTTTGTTACTCAGCATAATTCCCTGGAGATTCGTCCAAGTTGTATGTATCAATAGCTCACTCCACTGTAGTTCATTCCAGTGGATGGCCATACCACAGTCTGTTTAGTCATTCCCCTGTTGAAGGACACCTGAGCTGTTTCCAGTTGGGGACAGTATGAATAAAGGTGCAATGAACGTTCATGTACAGGTTTTTGTGTAAACGTTAAGTTTTCATTTCCCTGGGATAGAGGTCCCACAGTGTACTGGCTGGGTCCAAGATTAAGGACATGTTTTGCCTCAGAAGAAAGTGCTCTTGGGTGTGCCCTCAGGTCCTCTACTCTTATATTCTTTACCAAACACCGCTCTATACTTTCTCCTATGAGTTAATCTTCCACTGCCCACTCCTGCCACGAATCTCTCCCTCCAAAAAACGTAAAACAGCAAATTACTCTCTTCTATGATAACATCATCACTGTTTCCTACATTCTCAAACTTTGGTGAGGGTTTCCCTTTCCTCTTTGTCTTCATGGAAGTAAGGCTTTTTGCCGAGGACACCACCACTGGCTCCCCAGTGCTGCCCATTCTCTGACACTCCACCTATTTTAGGATCGGGAACAGACACCAGTGCTCTCCTTGCTTCCAAATTATTACTCCTACATCCTCACATCCACCTCTGCTCCTTTAAGGTTTCTGCCATCTGGTGACCCCTCACTGTCATCTGAGGTGTCATCTGCACTATCCACAGCTGACTGGCACCTGGCTCAGTCTCCTTTGTGATTCCACATCCTACCCCGACTTGTGAGCTTCTACCCCCCCCCAAGGGGATGAGTCATTCCCAGAGCTCCCTCACCTCCTCTATTCCAATCACCTTAACTCCCTCTGGCTTCGTTTCTTGCCAGTTTTAATATATCCTGTGTTCTGGCCAAGTTGAACTTTTCAGTTCTTTAAACATACCATACTTTTTCTAACAACTGTGAAACATCACACTGCTGTTCCCTCCATCTCTATTCAGCTTCATTATAATTTCCTCTGTCATCAACTTTAGATAAGATTTCAAGAACTTCCAAGTTCAACGGTATGAACATTTTATATGTAAAACCAAACCAGTTATAGGGGCACTTGGGTGGCTCAGTCGGTTAAGCGGCTGCCTTCAGCTTGGGTCGTGATCCCAGGGTCCTGGGACTGAGCCCCACGGTGGGCTCCTTGCTCAGCGGGGAGCCTGCTTCTCCCTCTGCCTGCCGCTCCCCGCTTGTGCTTCTCTCCCCCAACCTCTGTGTCAAATAAATAAATAAAATCTTAAAAAAAAAAGTTATAGGGCTTACAAAGAACACATGCTGCACCAACAGTGACATACTAATCCATTCTCTCCATGCTAACCCATTATTTACACTGCGCTAATAGCTTTTGTTCACTAATTTATTTAAATCTAAGTATCTATTAAGATCTTACTTATGTGCACAGTCTTAAGTGTAGGAGATACACAGGTGGACAGGATACAGGACCTCATAGGCTAGTGGTATAAACAGCAAATACTAACAATATTGTAAGATCAACTGAGATTATAGATGTGAATGTGCTTTGTAGTCTTTAGGCCATGGTTTCTCAATCTTGGTACTACTGACAATTTTGGGATGGAGAATTCTTTGTTGTGGGGCCAGGGGCAGTGGGGGTTGGTGTCTTAAGCTTTGCAGGATGCCTAGCAGCATTCCTGGCTTCTACCTACTAGGTGCCGTAGCACCCTCTTATAGACTGTGTTTCCCCCCAAATTCTTATGTTGAAACCTAACTCCCAATGTGATAGGTCATGAGGGCAGAGCATATTTTTAGGGACAATTCTGAGTGATAGGCTATGCACATAGCTGAAATGAGATTATACTTTACACTTTCCTGTGGGTGTGTTACATCTCAATAAAAATTTACCAAAATAAAAAATTGTTTTCAACTTTCCCCTTTGGGGTGATGTATGAAGGAGATTAAAATCTGTAACTTGAAGAAAAGATTAAAATAGAAATTAAATCTTCCTTCAAAATTGAATTTCAGGACTTGATGTGTCCATCCCACTTGAAAGAGGATTCGTTTGGAAACTGCGTTCCACCCAGTACCTTGGTAAAGCGTGGGTTACGAGAGTCATCTGTCACATCCCCTACACCAAAGTTGTTTCTGGAGCTCCTTCTGGGGCGGAGTGGCGCCCAACAGAAGGGAGACCGGCGGGTGCAGTGTGATGCGGGCCGCGAGTCCAGGTACACCGGCGCCATCGGGCCGCTCCGCAGCGTGGAGCTGCAAGAGCTGCGGGCGTCCCGGGGCGCCGGGCCCTCGGAAGCCGGCGGGCTCGGCTCAGCCCTGCACCGCACGCGGAACAGCAGCATCCACACGTAGCGCGCGGCTAGGGCCGGGGGTCCGGCCGGCCCGGGAGACCCGCCCCGGGCTGCGCTCCGGCCGCGCAACTCCAGCGGGGGCAACCTCGGGCGGAGCCGGGCCGCGACGAGGGGCGCGGTCTCCGGAAACGCGCTTGGGGACCCGGACTCCAGCCTCCGCGGCCCCCTGTGAAGGCGTGCGGGTGAGAGCCGCCTCCAACCTGCCTCCCTACCTGTCGGCGGGAGAAGAGAGCGGTCCCTGGCTGCAGCACCCGGGAGCCACAGCGTTGGCACAGCACCGCCTTCCGGTTTCGGCCCTCGGCTGACACTAAGTCGTTCAGCGGCTCGGCTGGTTCCATCGCCGCTACCGCCACAGTTTCCTCGGCCACGACCGCGCAGGCGCTGGCTCTGCGGGATCTTTTCGGAACTGCGCTGGCGCGGCTTTCAGAGACGGGGCGGGGAACGCGCGGTCACTCCCCCTCTGCGCAAGCGTCCGCTTCCCCCGCTCCGGATTCTCCTGCGCAAGCGCCTCATTCATTGCTTAACATGAGTGGTTAGGTGTCCGCTGGCTTTGTGACAGGGTCACTCACTTCCTGGGACGTGACAAATCCTCTCTTCATACTCACCTGGTCACTAGCCTTCCCTTACTATCGAGTAAAACCCGGGTAGATAATTCCCGAAAGCTGACCATACCTTTTAGTTTACTGAGATTTGAATTTAGTCTTATAAACGAACGGGGACGTTTCTGGAGGCAATGTGAAGGAATCTGGGTCACACTACACATCAAGTTTTATCCACATGTTTCTTCACAAAGAGACTACTTAGAGAGACATGTACCTTTTTGGTGTTGGAAAAAGATGCCTGGAAACTTTAATTGCTGGTCTGTTCTGATCATAGTGACCATTTACTATGTGGCAAAACACCGTGTTGAAATGCTTTAGAAACAAACCTATTGAATCATCATGATTTCCTTATGGGGTTGTCACTAATTACTCCCAGTGCACAACAGAGGAAGGTGAAGATCAGAAAGGTTACTTTCCAGGGTCCACAGATCCAGGCATGGCTTTAAAGCCACTGCTCTTGGGGTCATTACACTATACTTTCCGGTTCCATTTGATTAGTCCATAGATCTCTAGCTTATCAGTTCTAGTGCATTAGTCCATGGATATCCTGAAATGGCAAGGGAAGGAGAATATGAAGGGGAACTAAGCTACTTGATTAGTTAATGTCTAATCTACTCCTCACCCCCATCTGCATGTTTTTCTTTTTCCTCTTTGTCCTTCAGTAATTCAACATTTAGTGTAATATAACTAAACCCTGAGGATACAATGATAATAGGCACCCTATATTTGAGAACACAGTCTAAACAGGAAGACATACCCCAAACCAATGTCATACGATAAAGACAATCCTGGGAACAAAGTAAATAGAAGCCAGGATTAGGGAATAATCCCCAGCTGGAGAGTCAGAAAAGGCTTTACCTAGGTGACATTTGAATTAGGCATCAGAGTGTGACTAGGATTTTGTCTGAAAAGCAAGATTATTTCAGATAGAAAAATCGTAGAATACCTGAACAAAGGTGAGAACAAATTTAAGAATGGTTAGCAGTCCGCTGAACACATTATACCTAAGCTGAGAGAGGAGAGTAGAGGGAGGCAGGATCAGAAGGGTAGAGCGGGCTCAGAGCACCATGGTTCTAAAGTCATGTGAAGGAATTTGAACTTTATAATATGGGCAATGGGAATCTATAGAATTTTAGGCCAGAAATAACTTTGATATTCACTGAATATTTGCTGTATATTAGGTATTGTAATGATCCTACTTGTACTTCCGGAAGAACACTGATGACAAAACGGAGGGGCTAGACTGGAAAAAGGAAGAGTAGAGGTAAAGCTGTCAGGAAGCTATTACTCCGTGAGTCTGGGCAAGAGCTACAGGCCTGAACCGGGTGGCAGCGGAGGGAATACAAACACAGGAATGTATTCGGAACTCTTAAAGATAAAATTAGGTAGAATGCAGAAATGAATTGGATGTCTCTATTGTAATGGGGATGACACAAGATAAATGACAGACCTCTGAGACTGGATAACTAAGTGGCTGGCTGCCATCTGAGAGAACTAGAAAAACAAGAGGAACCCCCAAATTAGGGGTACCTCTGTGCATGTGCATGAGCAAAGTGCGTAAGACTGGCAAGAGTGGAGAGAGAGCAAGAGTTTCAGTTTTCTGCAGAATATTCAGTTGTGGCTGCCACATGAAGAACTATTTGGGAATTTGGTCTGAAACTCGGAAAAATCAGCAGTAAAGATAACCATCAGTTCTTTACTCCCCACTTCTCTGCCTGCCCTGCATCTCTTCCTGATAGGACGAGTCACATGTTTCATAGCTGTGGTTTGATCAGCAGGCACAACCCATCTGCTGAGGAAAAGTTGGCAGGCTCCTTTAGAGAAAATAACTTCCTCTTGGGCTCCCCAGTCCCTTTGCTCTGGAAATACAGGATTTTTTGCAGTTTTGCAGGCCTTCTGCATAGCTGTTTGTATAAATCTAAGCAAACAGAAATAGGACTGGAGTGACTAAAACCCTAAAAGTCAAGTGAGTATTAAATAAGCTCAAGATTGAGTCTTTATTCTATTTGGCATTCAAGTAAATTCCAAGTGTGGAAGGAGTCAATAAATATGCAATTTTATATAAATATTTTACTGATGAGAATCTCTGCAAGGGTAAAGAGGCTACCTCTTACCTATGTGTGGTAGAGCTAGTTGGCTAACACATAAGGTGAACAGGGAGAAGAGACAGGACATACAGCTGATTGCTAGGCCTGCTCCCCCCAAATATCTGCAAGACAGTGCTGGTTAGCCATGAACTCTCTTACAGGCATTTGAGACAATTGATTTTTAATATTTTCTTAAAAAAATACAAAGGAAATGAACTCTTGAGGTCAATACAACTCAGGGAAAGAGGAAAAAATGAAATTTTGGAATAAAGGGAAAGTGCATCCTTGTTTAGGTTATCACATCCCCAACACTCCCAATACCCACAAAACCAAGAATTTCACTCCAAAACACAGGGGAAACTTGAATGGTGGCTCAGAAATGGCGATAGCAAGTACTGGAACTAACAAAAGGATTTTGGTTGTCCTTGATTATTCTGTCCTGGATGAATAAAATCCACTCTAAGGACAGGTGAGGGAAACTTAGAGTAGGAAAAGGATTAATTGTACCAAACACAGCAGTAATAAGCACTCCTCAGCAGAAGGGTGCCCTTAAAAGAATGGGGCAGTAATCAGGTAGCTGCACTTTTAGGCTGCTGCCACCCCCACCCCATCCCCAAATAAATAGTAATGAAGTATAATAGTGTAGTAGTATTTGATTCAACACAGAAAGATAGTGTCTCACCCACTCAAGGCAAACCATGCCATGGATTGCTGAGCCCTGGGCAGGAAATAAGACGACTGTAAAATCACAGGTACTTCTAGTTTGTTCCCAGGCATACCGAACTCCCACATTTATTCCATGTCTGCTCAGCCCAACATTTGTTCACTCTTATTCTGTCAGTCTCCAGTGCCAAGATGCGCACCATTCTAGTTCAGAAAGACCATGGGGAAATAAAAAGATCCTTCCAAAAATACACCCTTTAAGTCCTCCAGGTTATACTTCAGTGGTGTTCTAGGTTCACTCACATTCAATCAAATTCTGTTGACTTCCCTTACTCCAAACCCAGTCCCTTAAGGGAGTGCCAGGTCTCTCCCCAAGCCCCCCAAAATTTTGACAGGGGGCTTTTCCCTTTGTTATCCTCCAGAATGGAACTGTGTTGCACCTAGCTACTGCAGACTAGGAAAGATATTCCTGGAAAACAAGACTTGGATTTTACCCAGCTGACTCAAGTTCGTATCCCTCCAATCATTTATGCTGGATACCGCCCACATCTAGTAGGTCACACTCACCTTCCTTCTCTGCAATACAGGAGGCACAGCAGATAGAGAGATTCTCCTGAACACATGAGAGTGCTCTCTAGACCAGAAGGAGAGGTGATCTGGCCTCTCAGATCCATTCAGTGTGCATGGTCTTCCCTTGAGTGTCTGTTACCCACCCTCCTCAGGGACAACACCCAGCACAAGGCGCAGTGCGTATCAAATAAGTACAATCATCACTGCACCTGTGCTTTGATTAATCACCCTGTGTGCACAGTGAGAAATAAGATATTCTGGAAAGGATCCTCGACTCTCCCGTAAACTGTCCCGTGGACTGGTCACTAGCCCTGGATGGTGCTCCAACAACGGTCACTTCTCTCGAAGAACACACACGCCAGCATCACAGCGCTGGGTTCCCATGGATGTCACTACTTCCCAGTTGTCGATGATAGGGTCATAGCACTCAATGCTACTCAGCAGGGAATTCCCATCATATCTGAGTGGGGAAGAAGCAAAAGAAGAAAATGAACTTTCTATTTCTTTCCATACAGTCCCTACATTAAAGGTTGCCACTGGAGATGTCTCCCCCAACCCGAAGGCGGTCTTGATCCAAAACTTCCGATTGGATCATGTGGTCCTGGATGCATGATGACTCTAGTGTGGCTTCCAAATCCTTACCCTGCAATAGCATAAAGTCTCCCCCGAAGCACCGTTGCCCCTACATAGCATCGTGGAGTGGTCATACTAGTGACAGTTGTCCAGGAATCAGTGCGAATGTTGTATGCTTCAACAGAAGAAAGGTGGGCTGTACCATCAAATCCCCCCACCACATAAATATGGTCATTCAGCAGGGCTACTCCTGCACCTGGAAGAAAAAAGGGCATAGCAAGTGAATACTACTAAGCTTAGGATCAGAAATTGAAAAACAAAACATGATCACTGATGGCTAGCTGAATTCTAAGGTAGCTGAGGGATGCGGACTAGGGCCAGACAGCCCTAGAATAATCTAGTTGTCTTTATTATCACTATATTTAGAGAAAAGACAGGCAAAGAGGAAAATGGAACCTCACTCCTTTTACTGTAAGTGTACAGTGAAGAAAGAACTACAACTCTGATTTGTTGATCCCCTATTTTTTACTGCAGCACCACTGCATATATAAAGATTTGTCAGCATGGTCCACTGTCCTCTCCCTTAGATATGACTGGTCTTACCAGAGCGCTTGGTGGCCATTGGTGTAACATTAGTCCAGTGTCCTGTGTGGGGATCATATTTCTCAACTGAATTTAAGATATTCAGGCCATCATATCCTCCTGAAAAAATAGAGACCATTTCAGAAAGAATGGGAAATCCTCATGCCCATTCCCAGGCTGCCTTTCTCTGAGTGTTTCAACTAATTCTTTTAGTTTTAGTTCTTAAGAGTTTCAATAATCCAGGGGCGCCTGGGTGGCTCAGTCGTTGGGCATCTGCCTTCGGTTCAGGCCATGATCCCAGGGTCCTGGGATCTAGCCCCGCGTCAGGCTCCCTGCTCTGCGGGAAGCCTGCCTCTCCCTCTCCCACTCCCCCTGCTTGTGTTCCCTCTCTCCTGTCTCTGTCAAATAAATAAATAAAATCTTTTTTTTAAAAAAAGGAGTTTCAATAATCCAAAGAGAAATCTGACAGTACCCTATTTTCTGCTTCCACAAAAAAGATAATCCTAACAGAAAAGATACGAGGATAGACTACGATTTTAGTTGAAAAAAGTCTATGAACTTTTTTTTTATAAAAAGGAATCCCCACCCAGAGGTTGCCGCCTATTAAGTTCCCTCCCATCTCTGCCTCCGAGACCGAATACCTAGACAGTAGATGACTCCGCTGGCCACAACTAGTCCAGCGCCCTCCCGGGCTGTCTGCATATCTCCCAGCATGCTCCACTGGTCAATGTTTGGGTCATATCGCTCCATACTGGTATGACGCCTGCTTCCATCAAAGCCTCCAGACACATAGATCATATCTGCTCAGAATGAATGAATCACAGACTATTAGAGGATGAGAGATTTCTAATAACTCTTCCCTTTACAAATTCCCCACAAGTACTTCAAATGTTTGGGAACAAAAACAAAGTGTTTTTCATGGGTAAGTCAATTACCTGAGTATAGATAAGGAAGACATCACAGTTAAGACACCTCAAAAGATGGGGCGCCTGGCTGGCTCAGTCGGTTGAGTGCCCGACTCTTGATTTTGGCTCAGGTCATGATCTCAGGAGGATGGTGGGATCGGGCTCCATGTCAGGCTCCATGCTCAGCAGGGAGTCTGCTGGAGATCCTCTCCCTCTGCTCCTACCCCCCGCAACACCTCTGCTAGCGTGTGCACTCCCTCTAAAATAATAATCTTTAAAAAAAAAAAAAAAGA